TTTGTATGAATATCCATACATGGACGTAAGACTATTATCATACTAGTATCTTAGTATTATTATATTATTACTACTAGCACGTGCATTATATCATTTTCGCCAAGTACGCTTACCATATCATTGCTAGCATGTCAAAACAATGTTTTCACTAATGTGAGTACTTATGTCACATTATTTACATTATCGACATGTTACTTGTTTCACATTAGCAATACTGTTACATTGAGTTGTGCAAACATATGATCTACTATGGTGCATGATAGGGCTTTTGCACATTATATTTTGTTACGATGTATGATCACATTATATTTTGGAAAAATTTAAACTATCGCTATTTCTCTTTATTGTCATTATTTATAGGTGCAAATGGACTCCAAATTTACTTTGTATTGTGTATTGGAGATATTATGTTATATTGTAGGTTGGTTTAGTCCATATTATAGAGGAGATGCTGTTCAAATTTTGAAAAATTATATGCGACATCTTTCGCATAGATATTTATGTTATATTGTAGGTTGGTTTAGTCCACTTATTCAGGCTCGCACAGATATTTATAAGGCAATTCATAAGTCCTCACGTGAAAGGATCGTTGTAAATTTTTGAGGCAGTTTGTAAGTCCTCACTTGTTAGAGTTACTCATATTTCTAAGGCTATTTGTAAGACCTCGGTCTACTTGACTACTTATATTTCGAAATTCGACCCGCACATGAATGTACGACTTCGATTTGGAAGACTATTGTTACACCTATATATTACAGACATGCACATGAAGGAGGGGTACCATATATGCCAATTTGGCATAAGTTATTCAATTGGATTGAGCATATTTAATTAAGCAACCTTGTCTTGGGCTTGGAACTCGGTCCATTAACACCACTTGGCCAATGTGAGTTTTATTTACAATAAGATATGAAATCCTAACCTTAGCCAAATCTTCTCACCCTCTCTTACACTCATATTATCTTTCGTACGGTTGTTGACTTGACCGTCGAAATGCAAACGGTCGTCATACCTTTTTCTCAATCGGCAACATTTGCGTTCTAATGGGGTGTTCCAGTGCTGGTGATGTCTACATGGAGGGGAGATGGTCGGAATTCTGTTGGCAATTTTTTTGAGTCAACGTCTATAACCGGTATAATTCATGTTTTTAAATGAAATTTTTATTTTTCATTGAAAAGAAAGAGAACTGTCACATGGCCTAATTTTTACAACTTTTGCTCTCTACAAGTATTTCAGCGGTCCAACTAGAATTTTGGGAAAATTTAACCGGAGTCTTGAACCCCTAATTTGTAGCACTACATGTCTCTAGCATTTCAAAAGTGTGCAAGTATAGTCCTTGTCTAGTCGAACAATTAGTTTGAATGTTAAAGAGTTAATTAATTAATTTATTTTTTTAGAAAACAAACAAATTTACCCTTAACTAAACTAGTTCAATTTACTCTTTTTCTACTTTTTTTACTAACCTGATGTTCAGCTCTAATCAAGCTTTGACGGGGCTCTAGCGCCAAAATTTGGTGGATGATTTTTTTGATATTTGCTTCTTAGCGCATTCATATATTTAAGCATATAAAGGCATTTTTCAAGAACAGAGAGCTCATCCAATTGAATGAAATTGAATTATCCAAAATGAAGCAAACTGATTGCCAATATAAACATAACTTTTTTAATTCAATTACTTTGATGATTGGAGCTGCTTGTTATGATTTTCAAGAATTAGGAAACATTGGTTTCTAGTTGTGAAATACTTCCAGGTAATTGCATGGAGTTCTTGGCTATCTCAAACAATTATTCAACACAAATGGCTAAAGGAAAGGCATAATGGACTTTTAAATTGAAACATTTTAATGGTAAAATAGATGGTTTCCGTCCATTAAGAATGATGTTGGCACACTTTTGAAACATTAGGAAATCAAGTGCTACAAACGGAAAATATAAAATCGTATCATTACAATGTTTATAGTTTCAAGACTCCCAATGGAATTTTCCTTACAAATTTTGTATTGTGTGAGGAGAAAAATGAATATTTATGCTGGTTAACTATGACTTGAAAATTAAAAAATTAACATATTATTTTCAAAATATGTTTAGTGCATATTTGAAAAAACTTAAATTACAATCTAATGATAAAAAATACACTTTATCCACATACTCCAATTTATTATCTACACATTCTGCACGATTGAAATTACAATGAACGTTCCAATTCTTTGCTTATTTTGCACTTACGCTTCCAACTTTTTTCCTCCCATTCTCTCCCTTAGATTTGTATTAATCTACACATGTTGTCTCCAATTTCGATTTTCATCCAAAAAATTCATTAGAATTACATAACATACATATTTATCACTTGTACTTTTATATAAATAAACAAAAAACAAATACTAAATTTTTAAAAATATATTTCCTCATTCCAATGCATGCTATGCACGCTAACAACATATTAGGACATTAATGTTTCCTTATATTGGCTTCTGATTGAACATCTAACCCTTTTTGCAAAGTGCTTTGGAAATCCAAATATAAATCTTTCTTTCCAATGAGATTGATTACAATCTTCACGTAATATGACATGTGCTAAAAGCATGTCTTTATACCCTCCAAAATCATGAAGTTTTGAACATCGAAGATTCATGAGAATTTCGGAATGTTGATTCATTACATCAACATGTACTCTAGTAAAATGTTTGATGATACAATAGATAAGGATAGAGAAACTGTCATTTTCTCTAGTTTCATTATTTTGGGAATTCATAATCTCTTGCTTTTCTTCAAAGCTGAGATAATTTCCCAACAAGTTTTTTAGCTAGTCTCTAAATCCTTTAATCAAACTTAAAGTTGAAGTTTGAGGATCAACATTTTTTGATCTGTATGTTTTCCAACACATAGACATGACTTATAAAAGTCGAACAACTTGATACTCTATTAAACCATCAATATTCCATTTAGTAACAGAGTCACTATTAGGTTTTTAATATAATTGGAAAATCTGTGAACAAATAAGACTAGAATTAGTATGTTGTCAAAGTCAAGGAGTAAGTTGTAAAAATTATAAATTGAGTTGTATTAGGTCTAGAGTTCGAGAATGGAAAGAAGGAAAAAACGATGATGCAATTTGGTAGAATGTCGCCCTGACTTTGCTAGAGCTGTAGAAACAAAAACATTGTCGCCAGCCTACCGCCTTGCCTTCGCTCGAGCGACAACCTGTCACTCGCCGTTGCTAAGCTCTCGCTCTGACGACAGGGTTATCCAGAGAATTTTATTTCACGTTGTTAAGGTTTTTTGTTCGGCTCATTCAACCCTAATCCTATTGTATAGATACTAGAAAGCCTTTGAACGGTTTTTGAGAAGGTTAAACATTAAGAAAACTCATACTGTTTCATATCCACTTCATCAAAATCATCTATAAGCTTTCGACCTTCACAGTTTGATTTATTATTAGCGATGAAAACATCAAATTCATATAATTCAAATACCAAACTTCCACTTCCTAAACATTTGTCAGAGTTCTAAAGATCAGGGGAAGGTGACTAGAGTTTTAGTTTTTGGAGAACATGGAGTTAATCGTTGATCCACAAGAGATGATGAATTCATAAAGTCGAAAGTTGGTGCAGGAGCACGCAATCCAGGAGGGGTGAGAGAATTACAGTCAGGAGGTTAGAAAGTACTAGTGGTAATCGTGTCTACCGGACTATAAGTTCAAAATTCGTTTATAGTGGGTTTTTTATTGGCAAAGTGCCCTGAGTTTTTACTCAATTGGGGTTTCTTCATGATCATTCTGTATGTTATTACTGTTTTCATATAACTGCGGTAATTCAACGTAGGAAAATTGGACTATTTGATTCATCATCTAGAAATAATTAAAAAAGACTTGTTGCTATTTAATTATTAATTCTTAACTCTGCATAATTACATATTTACCCTAATCTAGGTGTTATTGATGGCCACTCACATAATTAACAGACTACCCACAAAAATCTTGACATGGCTTACTCCTTTTGAGAAGCTATACAAAAAAAAAAACCTGATTACTCTTTGATNAAATCCTGACATGGCTTACTCCTTTTGAGAAGCTATACGAAAAAATTCCTGATTACTCTTTGATTAAAACTTTTGGCTCACTCTGCTACATGGCTAATATAAAGCCAAATAAGGGTAAATTTGATGAAAGAGGTTATAAGTGTATCTTCCTTGGTATTAATCCTAGTCAGAAAGGTTTCAAGGTCTTCAATCTTTCCACCAAACAAGTTCAAGTATCTAGGGATGTTAAGTTTTTTGAATCCATTTTTCCTTTTGAGGGTACATGTTCTGACGTTCTTTCATCACTTTTACCCCTTCCTCAAGATTTTAAGTTAGGTAGAATTAGCACCAAAATCCCATTACATGATCTCAATAGAGTAGATGCGCAACAGGAGGTTTCAAAACTCCTAGACAATTCTTCTGACTCCCTTCCTCTGATTTCAGTT